AGGTTCCACCTTCAAGGCAGATACCAAGAAAAGCAAATGCCCTCTATAAACTGCCTATTTACAAGATTGTTCCGATTAAACAGGCTGTCATGCCCTATCACGTAGCAATTACGCACCTCCAGCTGCTAAAAATAAATGACTGAATACAAAAATTCAGGCTGGGCTGGAACAAATCCTGAGGAAAAAAAAAAAAAAAAAACACACACGCACAGACAAAAATGATCATTCTAAATCTGTACCTCTATAAATCGACCCCAAAATGTAAACGCTTTGTGTTAAGCACTTTACTGTTTAAGACAGATGTGTGTATTCATGCATAACAGATACATGCACAACAGTTACCAAAGTGCACAGAGATAAGCCTGTTGTGTTCACACAACAAACCAAACAAACCACAGATGCACATTCATGCTAGCCTGCACTCACAGTCACACACACACACACACACACACACACACACACACTTCTTCCTCCCTCCTTGCACTGCAAACGGTGAGTCATCTCTCTATTCGCGTCACAGAAAGATGAGTGCACCCTGTGACAGGCCAGTTAGTAGCAGTCACACTGATCTATGTGGCATCTCTTAGTTCCATGTTTCTCCCTCTGATGGAAAAACTATGTATCCCAGCTCTCTATTAGGAAGTTTTACTCGGCTGATAATGGAGGGCTGGGGAGGGAGTTGAGCCAGATAAAAATGGGCAAGAACAGTCCCTGATGTGAACACACTGTATGATGGCGCCCAGGCAGTGCATCATCAACTTCTATCTCTCTTTTTGTAGCTTTGTTGTCCAAGTGTGGACACCTGAGGCTTGGTGTTTTATTGCTATTCATATAAACTGAATGATGCTGTGGAAAAAAACAAAAACAAAACATCAGCTGGCAGATGTTCGTTTACAAATAAATAAAATATAAAAAAGAAGGTTTTGGCATCACTGGGGGCCCATTTATTTACTTGAGAATATTAAGCATCTTTAAATCTCATCTACTTTAATAAAAGGAAATCAAATTTCTCAATTTCAAGCAAAACTGGAGAAAAACACGGTGGATATGAGCTTGAAGAAATATCAATACGGAGCAGTAGATTTTGCCTTGAAAGTACTAATATAAAGACGGCGTTTAGAGATCAATTTTCTTCTCCAGGCAAACATCGTACTGTAATAATTTACAATTATAGCCCCACAACGACACCTCCTACAACTAAGCCAGCTGTCTTGCTTTCATACTGTCAACAGCATGCGAGAGCTCCACTTCATTGTTGCTGTCACAAAGTAAGCTCAATCTCTAACGACTGTGGAAAAGAAAATTACTCCCATCAGGATAAATGTGCAATGCCTCTAACCCAAACAATTCTGCTCCAGCTTCCCACCTCAGCACTACACGTATGCCACATGTTTGTTGTTTTCTTTACATTATGATATATTATCATCACAATGTTAAGAACTGCAGCAAACAAAGAAGATGGAAGATCCTGGTAAACCTATACAACTTTTCATTACATGTTAAGTGACTCTAGGGTTGCACGTCTTTGTACTTCTTAAGAAGCAACCATGCAACTAGAATACAAATGACACAAGTCTCACTCGCATGAATAATTCCACCTTTTTTACATTAACAGATGACATGCTTTGAATCATAAAGTGGGGCTTTCTTAGGTGCTTTGTGAAAATGTTGAACAATGAAGCCTTCTTCATTGTTTAACTTTGAAAGCACAGCAGGCCAAAATCAAGAATTACTTCCTCTCTTGCTGGGGAATAAGAATCACAGAAATAGTTTCAGGGTGTCAAGCCTAAACAACACACCATCATATCTGATGCTTAAAATAATTTCTCACTCTCACCAGACAAAGTCAAGCTGACAGCAACCAGATTGCACTTCACAAGACAGATCAGTGAAGTAAGAAAAAGATGTCACCCTCTCTGTTTTTTTTTTATTATTAAACAAACACCAGGAGCATCTGACCAACACTCTAAGCTCTGTTATAATCAGAAATGTCAAAAAGTCTTTAAAAAAAAAAAGATATCCATAGGTGAGGTCCAGTAACTTACTCAGTGCCACAACATCTTTTAGTTTACGGCGTAGATTAAGACTTATCATTTGACACGATGACACCTGGATGTGAGGTATCATTCAGTAAAGAAATATTGTATTGAGTTTTAACAGGACAGATTTCACAGCTTAAGAAAAAACACTGAACTGAATAGATGGAAAACGGGAGAAATTGTTGGCTTTAAGTTGGACTCCAAGCTTATAAGAAAGGGATCATTTGATGCCCTCTACAGAAAGAATGTAACTACCAACAAATCACATTTTAATACACGTGTGGGTTAAATAAATGTTTTTTTTTTTTTTGTAAATCATTAAAAATGCGTTCGTGTGTCATGCATGATTAAGTTGGTATTCAAAAAGAACATTTAATTCCATTAAAATGTGCTGCATAATATTTTTTTAAAGATTCCCCATTTTCTCTAATGGCTTAAATCATAGGATGCAATTATCACAGTGTGCAGGCTTAGAGCTGAGACTTTATTGCCGTTTATTTTCATTTCTGTTGAACAGAAAAAAAAACGGATTGCATGTGACGCAACACCTTCTTTTTTTTTTTTTTGCCTAAAGGCACACTATGGCCAGACAGAAATCACTTCAGGACACTGAGTGTTGAAAATTAAAGGTTGGGTGACAATACGCCTATCTAAACAAGTCTAATTTACCAAAATATTCAAGTAAGACGTGAAGGAAACCTGTTAATTCTTAGAGTTTTATCCATTAACACGTGTTTTGCCATTCGTTTGCTTGCTCCAGGGGAGACGATTATTCAGATCAATTATCCATGTAATATAGCCTGCTCTGCACCATCATCCACACTTTGATGATAAGCAGGGCAGAATGATCACTTTTCACATTAGGAAAAACACAAATAAATGCACAGCTTCACATTTTTCTTTTATAAATTGAGGCAGAACTGGAGGCTCCGAGTAGGGGTGCAGATTATTAAAAAACCTCAGATTCTGTTGGAAGTAATGGGCTCATATTTCTTTTTTGATACACCATTTTCCTAACACTCTTCCAGAGCTTTAGTATCTCTCGTATATCATCTAAATCAGGTATGAGCAAATCAGGCAGCAGGAAACCATCTGACAAGCTAAATGTAGGGCCCTGATGGTGAGCCGGCATGGGCAAGTTATCCAGATTAATCAAGATATACCAACATTTTTAAAAGGTTAAATGGTTTCAAAAGAGCAAATATTAAGTCAGCTAGTTTAATTAAATGCCAAAGACAGTGGCTAAGTTCAAATAGATCGAATGGTATCCCCCTAGCTCCTGTTCCTTTAACTTTTCAGGGGTCAACAGTAAGAACATTACTACGGATAGAACAGGAACTTCTGAATGGTTTGCAGAATCGAGGCAAGCTTTAGCCTTCTCGACATCAGTACACAACACAAATACATTCAGGTGATGCTAGTCAAATTGGGAATACAGTTAAAAAAAAACTATGAAAAGGGTTGCACAAATGTAGAAAATGGCTAATTATCTCTTTTAGAAAACCCAAACATGGAGATGTGTACATCTGCATGTGTAGACGTGAAGAAATAATAATTTCTCATTCATTTTTAAGGTGAGTTATGCTTATACGTCCTGTCATGTAAAGGATTGCTGTATTCCTGATGGCTCCTTGGTGCCAGTTAGGAACCTTGTAAACTCTCTAGGCTAAAGGAACTATAATATATATATATAAAAAGAGAACAATGGAAAAAAATCATAATATGATGTGCTTAAAATCCAATTTTACTTAAAAACACCACTAAATTAGCGGCTGTGCTTCAAGAATAAGAAACTCAAGATCATATGTTTGCATATATAAATTCTTACTTGGGCTTTAATTTTGGTATCTTTGTGTTAAATTTTGACATTTATTTTTTTTAGTGGCTGGTTTTTTCAGCAGTAGGCTGACAGGAAAGTCAACCTGACAGGAATGGGGGTATGAGAGAGGGAGAGAGACACACGGCAAAGGACCACAGGCCGGATTCAAATTCGGGTCGCCTGCGTCGAGGACTAAGGCCTCCATACATGGGTCGTGTGCGCTAACCACTACGCCATCTGCATGCCCAAATTTTGACATTTATGTGTAAACTAGTTAAATTCTGAAAAACGTGGCTCAAAGCCGTTTCACTTGCGCCCTCTATGGGTGGAAACGTGGCTACTGCAGTTGAATTTTCCAATTGGTTAAAACAGCAAAACTTGGTAACACATCAAAGTCCCACACTCTAGGAATAATGGTGCCTCTATTTACCTCAGACTGGAAAGTCCAAGTGGCTCCAGTTTGGTCATGCTGTCACTTATATTATCTACTGTTTGTATGTGGCCATGACAATGACAAAAGCACTGTTCTATGTGGCATACTAATTGTCAATGTAACACACCATGAAAGCATCACACTCAGATACATGATGAGTATCTGAGAACAGATCTCGTTCCCTAGAAAATTCAGTAGTAGCCACTCTGTACTTTGTAATATATTTTTCTATATACTTGGCTTTATATTTCATTTACAAACATTGCAAACACAGCACTAAGAGATAACACGAATAACAGCATTGGAACCATGACTGGTCTGCAGCCTTCATGCCCTGGAAAGGTTTTGTTTTCAAAATGTAAATAAAATATTTACATTGAGTATTTTATTGCACCCAACATCCTTTTGATGCCTACAGCACTGCACCACAGTTGTATTTAGCTTCCTCTCTCCTGTTACCGGGTAAAGTACATGACTCATCATCGACATTTTGAAATTGCACTAAGAAATTGACCAATAATTTTCATGCAGACGTTCATTTTATCTTGAAATTAATCTTTACCATAACCATTCATGTTAATTATGTCTCTGTTTCCATTTTATTTTTGTTATGGCAGTGAGATAAAGTTAATTTACAGTGTAATGCAAAAGATTCCAATATCAACTCAGTCCTGAAAACAGTTATTTCACAATAAAACTGCTCTCTTACCTGTGATACATTGAAACTGACCATCCTCTCGTCGAATAGTGAAGGCCTCACCTGGGTTTACCTGCACCAGGATTACCTGACAAGACACAAAAACTGTTTTAAACATTAGCCAAAAACAACAGCATATATTTACACGTTTTGAACAGAAAGACTGAAGCAAATCTACAGTCTGAGAAAGACTAGTTTTTAAATAACCCTTAAATCATATCTAATCTAGAGTTATAGTCCAAATACTAAAATAAAAAAAAGGTGTATTTTTTTAAACTCAAAATGCTTTAAATACTCTCTTCACAGTTAGTTACAACCTGCATCAATCCATAGCATGCACATTCATCTTAAGCTTGGTAAAAATGTCCTAATATCTAATCAGTTTCTGTCAGACTCAGAACTTCTGTCTTTATCAACGGACTTGCATCACAATTTCATTTTTTATGATTTATCAGTTTTCAGAGAAAAAAAAATTTGTAATTAATGAACAAATAATACCCCTGCACATCTGCTGTTACACTCAATGGAAGTTTCTTAGTAAAACACAAACGACTTGCTAAGACAGCTTAAATTGGTCAAATAGAAAGACTGAATTTTGGAAATAAGTTGCACTTAGAAAAACTAGCTGGGGTAAAATCGTAGTTTGAAAACAAAAATCAGACAAATCAGAGTTAGGGACATATGCTTTGATGCATTAATAGGAAAAATCTTGAAACAACTCATTATTTGGGCGAATTCAAAACCCAATGCTCCTTCCCTGGTTTAGTGTTATCACTTTATGAACAAAGAAAGTGTTGGTCAAAAACTGGAATTTTAAAGTTTTTAAAACCAGAAAGTGGCATCTGCTATGGATGGTTAATCGGTTCATCTCTGATAAAAACAAACAAACAGACATATTGGACAAAATAAAAGAACTACAAAATCTCAGATCTGCCATAATATAAACACTCTGCTCAACTGTAAACAAATGCAATCACTGTAAACAAAAAATGTATAATCTTAGAGTAAAAAATTTAACTTTTGACCCTAATTTCATATTACTGAATATGTAGAGAAACATTAAGATACAATTATTTTATTAAATGTAATCAGCCCTGTTCTAAAAACATATTATGAAAAGATACGGTTCAATTAGCTCATCCTTGTAAAGTCATATAAAGCATAACGAGGTTGTTTTGTTGCCTGGCACTGTGTGTGGGCGCTTATCGGTACCTCACTCTTGTGGAAGTCGCTGTCATAGAATCTACACTCCTCTGGCAAAGGGCTTTGTCTATGGTTGTCTTCAAACACTGAAATCATCAGCACCTCCATCTCTGACAGTGATCCCATTCATGTGCTCAGGGAGAATAAGAAGAAGCCTTAAGACTGCCCGACACAGAGTCTCATACGGTCATACGAACCCACACAAAGCAGCGTCAGCAGTGTGTGTAGTGCGATGGTGGGAAAAGGTGGGAGGGGCGAAGTCTAATTCAATCAAAGTCTGAGCACTTCATTCAGGAACATGTGAGGCTTTGTCGTTTGTTTTACTTATTTAGAAAGAAAAGATTAAAAAAAAAGATGTAGCATGCTTTCAAATGGAAAAAAATGCAGCTTTAAAATCAATGAAAAAATACAATCAAAGGAAAAAAAACATTTAAGAAAAATCATACAGCTACTTACTGTTCCCCGCATTGCTTTCCTTCATTCAAGCGTTACTATTCACGCTGTCAAAGACAGGAAAGGGTTCTCCAGGGTCTATCAGACCCTTCAGAACTTCACCGAGCTCTCATAATAGATCACATGACCTGCGAAACCAAGACATCTGACCAAGCTCATCTTCTGTAATCTTCACTTCATCCACTCCTGTGTTAAGTCCAGGAAGAGACTGAAAAGAAATCTGGAGGCTGTGTTTCCTGCACTGGATGAAGCCTTTATGCAAAGCGTAGCGTGAAACTCATGGTTCGCTCAGCCTGGCTTAGCTGCATCTGCTCCTGCCGTGGCTGCAGCAGCCTCCCTGCTGCATGTATCCACAGCAACCCTTTCAACAATCCACAGCGACGTCTTTACCAAACCTCCACAGAGCGGATTGGAGAAAAAAAATCTTATCAGTGCTGGCCACTCTTCGGAAGTGGAAGATGAGCTCAGGAGAAGAAGACCAAAAAATGAAAAACACTTTTTAGATGATGCCTTACTTTGCTATTCAGTTTCCTTCTTTGCCTCTTTTACAGACTACGTGTCAGCTCAGCTAATTCCTGCTGGGCTCTTTAACGTGGTTCATTTCAATAGCATTCCATCAGGGTGTGAGCATAGCACTGCTGAGCCGGTAAAGGTATAAGGGGTCCAAAGCGTGGGGAGTCCTTTGTTCTGTCTTTTTCACAACAACAACAATTGCGTGAGGGAGCTAAGCAGCCCACACAGCTTCTGAGGCTGACATATAGGACTACGCTACAGTCCCTCTCCTTCTCTCTCTCTCTTCTCTCCCTCCCCCTCACACTCCCTCTGGTTTGCTCGCTCTCCCCCCTCTCATTCACAGAGCGACATGCTTACATCCTCTTAATACTCCTGATCAATACGGAGACGAGGTAGAGAGAGTTCAGTTGCAGAGCTCTGCTGCTTCTCACAACTGTAGTCTTGAGTTCCACGATGTTTTCTCAAAGATCACAAAGCAGCACACTCTCAGTCAAAACAAAGCAGTTATTTGTATAGTTACGACACACACAGCTTGAAAGTTCCTCACTAACATCTGCTCTCATTTAGTCTGAATGGATGGCGTCTTAAAGCAACAGGGTTGATCACCCGACTAGTATTTGCTAAATTGGCATGCACTCTGATACGCCTGTGTAAAAGGTGCACCAAGTTGTTCTACAAAATGAAACCTGTTTTTTTACTCTTGGGAAAACACATATCATTGATTGATGCAATTATAGAAAAGAAAAGCCAGAAGCAGTAAAGCTTAAAAGGCAAAACAACCTCAGGGAAATATAGAGCCAGATTAATTATTGAACAGGAATGTTTACACAGCAGTCTCATTCACTGGACTTTAAATAGTCTTCAATTTATTAATCTAATTTGCGAAACAATCGCACAGTGAAATTAATTCACTTGCCTTGTTCTAATACCCTCTAATGTTTTGCCTTGTATAACCAGCAAATTTCAATCCTTTTTGTTGGTATCTTATGTGATGAGCCAACAGGTGGAAGGAAAATGACAGTGTTGACTGACTGATATCGAAGGTCATAAAACGACCAATAGGCATGTACTCAAACTGACAGGTGTTATGTGTGGCATACGACAGCGTTTCTTCTGTTTGATGCCAAGTTGAGCTTCTGCTATGCAGCTGGTTCTTCTCTGCTCACAGACGGAACAGCAGGGAAACGCTCTGACCATTTACAAGATGTTAAAGCTCAGGCTTTACAAACAAATAGCCAGAGATTTCCCTCCTAGTGTCCAATGGACTGTAGATTTGGTAGATCACAAGGACACAGAAAAAAAAGCTAAAACAAACAAAAGTGTGAGTTGACATTTTTTTTCTTTTAATGCTAGAAAATGTTTGGTGTGCACCATAAAAAATTGTATATTTTCAGAAGGTCAAAAGTATAACATACTGAAATTTGCAGTTTTTCTTTGCACTTCCTACACACAATGCAAATGTTGAGGGGGTTTCCCCTCTGATTCAGAGCCGGTGGACCAAGGAGAGGTGCTAGTTTCTGTTGAGTCACTGATGGCCATTTAGCTTGTGGAATAAAATGCTTAAGACACTCATTGCAAAAACTTGCTTATTTGGTCAGCAAACAAACAAAAACTAAGTATTAGCACAATATTATATACAACAAAAAAGATGAATAAATATTGGCAACTGAAGAGTACAGTTGTGAGACTTATGTACTCATCTCTGATGTTGAAAAGATTTACATTTAGAAATTGGATCATGTAAAATTCTGTTTCTGTTTGTTTTGTTTTTTTGATATTAAATCAGAATATTCTCTGCCACATGTAATACCAGAAATCTAGAAAAAGATCAAAAGCAATTATCTCTGCTGAACACCTTGGAATAGTGTTTAGATGTTGTCTTTATTTACCGCTTAAACCTTAGAGGATTTCTCCCATTTCTTCTTTCTGGCAAATAAGAAATATCTTAGGTCAAATATAGCAAATATATAATTTTTCTCAAGGAAAATATTCTTACTTACTCTGTAAACTTTGACTTTAGAGAATACTTCCAAAAGAGTAAAAAAAAAAAAAAAAAAAAAACACAAACCACTGGACACTTGACTCTCTTCACAAAAATGGCTTCCTTCACACCGCTCTCAAGCCACCTGTCTTCTTTGTCCAAAATGTCAACATTCTGAGTATTTGAACAGAGGAATATTCACATTTTGGACAAAGAGGACAGTGGACTATAAAGTTTGGAACTCCACGTTAATCCAGACATTTTGAATTGAGAAAGCTTCCTGGTTGGGAAGCGAAATGTCTTCAAACTTGGAAAACCAAGTCAAGTGGTTTGTTTTTCTTAACACTTTTGGAATGACTATGGCCTGGATGACTGGGAATCTTCCCCACCATTTAGAAAATACCCAAGTTTCAGCTGTTTATCCAATCTGAACGCTGATTTTGTGTTAATATAAAATGGCCTACAAACAAACTCAGTGGTTAAAATGATTTTATAAAAAGTTCAGTCATACAGCAAAATATGCATGGACAGACAAGTAGGATGAAGACTCAAACTAGTGTGTACGCTTTTGTTTAAGCCCCTTTAGAAGATTTCTACTTTTAAAAATGACATGGGAAAGAAAAGAATAGAAATCTTATTTTCTCAGAATATTTGTTTAGATTTTTGTTAGTTTAAAACAGCATGCCCAAAAAGTGAGCTATAATAGTAAGTCATTTTCTGAAAAAGAAGGGTCATTATTTCTATCAATTTTAGATCTTAAAAGTCAGCTTAATATTTATTGAAGATTAATTTGTAGATAAATGTATAAGTTTAAGGGTGCTCTGTTTTTGTTGCTGTGTAAATCTTCACATTTTCTTGTAAACCCTTTTCCCTCTGCAATATCTGGCCTAAAACCAAATTAATAATGCCCTCTATGGATTGAAACACACCTACTGATG